GGGACGGACCGTGGGGCGGACAGAAGTGGGTGGGCTCGGAGGGGTCCTGGTGGAGGGACTGGAAGGGCGGGAAAGGTGGGGCGCGTCAGCCGGGCAGGGGGGAATCAGGAGCCCGCAGCCACCCTGGCCGCCGCCCTCTGATCTTGTCCCGGCCAAGAGGTCGCCCTGGCAAGCAAACCCTGGTGAGGCTGGTCTAGGCAGGAGCGGGAGCGGGAGGGGTCAGGCGTTAGTTACCTCGATGACGGGGTCGGTGGAGTACTGTTTCAGGACCTCCAGAACTTCCGGGTTCCCGATGGCCCCCAGGGCCTCCCCTGAGAAGAAGAACCATGGACACATTTCACTGTTGGTCAGGAAAGTAGGAAAGGCCCCGGATGCGGGGGTGGAGGTGGGGGGGGTGGGGGACGACACCAGCACCACCACCTCCTTTGCGCTCCGTCCTCCCTACAGCTCTGTATGTATCTTGTGACCCACTCTGGCCCCGTGGACTGGAGCGGAGTGGGCACGGCCCCCAAGTGGTCTCAGTCGGCATCCCTTCCCCTGAATTTGGACTTGGCTGGAGCTGGGCTGAGACCTCTCCCGATCCCCGGGCCAGTGCACCTCCCCCCGGGCCCCCCACCCCCTCGCTCATGCTCTAGATGGGGAGACACAGGTGAGCATGACATTACAGCCTGGGGACACTGGGTAACATGGAGCTCCAAGGACACCCGGGCGAGGAGAGTTCGTGGGGGTGAGCCTGGAGGAGGGGGATCTAGGCGGCGAAGTGAGGGAGGAAGGCCAGCGGACCCAGGCAGGGCTGGAGGAGGCTGACCGTCTCCGTGGGTCTGCACAAGCCCTGAGTGGGAAGAGACCCAAGGCCAGCAAACACTCGCTCCCACTCAACTCCTCCTCTGCTTGGCAGGCTGGTAGAGTGTGATGCTGCCCCCCATCGAGAACACCCCAATGGACCTGAATCCAAGTCAGGGCGTCCTCCTCTGCCCGCAGCCCTTCAGGGCCCCCACCTCCTTCAGGGCAAAAACCTAAAGTCCTCCCTTTGGCCCCCAAGGCCCCGCACAACCTGCCCTGTCCCCTTCCTGTCCTCCCCTCTCCTCCCTCTTGCTCACTCTGCTCCGGCCACAGGGACCTCCGTGCCACTTTCCCAAGGAACAGGCTGGGTGCTGCCCCAGGACCTTTGCTCGGGCTGTATCCTGTGCCTGAAGCACTTTTCTCCAGATAACTGCCTTCCTTCACTCAGATCTCTGTCCACTGATTAAAAAGGGCAACACCCCTGGCACCCCCATTCTACTCCCTGCGTCATCGCCTCCTTAGCACTTCCATAACACGACGAGGTGTCCCGCACTCCTATACACTCAAAATAGCGGGACTTATGGGAAAGGTGAGGTTTGGAGTAGAGCACTCTTGGTTAAGGAGAGCTCCAACCGAAATAGCGACTAGCACATCGAGCGTCACCAGGGGCAGCGTGGGGATGGGGACAGCTCAGCATGAGTAGAGACCACTTCGGGGAACGCTAAAAATACCTAAAACAGTAAAATGGAAACAGCCGCCCTGTGCCCATCCACAAATGAGCTCGCTGGTTATAGAGGCAAGGCCTCAGCAGCACAGTCTTGCCGAGGATTTTATTCGTTCCTCCTGTTTCCTGCTGCCCTGGAGGTAAGAGGGCCTGGTACATAGCAGGTGCTCAATAAACACTGGCCCAGGGACTAAAACGAACACATGAAACAGACATCACAGGCTGGCGAGCTCACCACCTGGTTTTGTATCAGCAGAGGATGGTTTTTATGTTTTTAAATGTCTTTCTCAAAAAAAAAAAAAAATTTTTTTTTGTTAAACGTTTTTATTTATTTTTGAGAGAGGGAGCACGCACGTGCAAGCAGGGGAGGGGCAGGGAGAGAGGGAGACAGAGGCTCTGAAGTGGGCTCTACACAGAGAGCAGACAGCCCGACGCGGGGCTCGAAGTCGCGAACTGTGAGATCGTGACCTGAGCTGAAGTCGGATGCTTAACCGCCTGAGCCACCCAGGCGCCCAAAATCGCTTTCTTTAAAATCAAAGGGACGAGGGACACCGGGGTGGCTCAGGCTTAGGTCAGGTTTTCACAGTTTGTGGGATCCAGCCCAGTGTCGGGCTCTGTGCCGAGTGTGGAGCCTGCTTGGGATTCTCCCTCTCTCTCTGCCCCTCCCCTGCTCGCGCTCTCTCTGTCTCTCTCAAAACAGACAAACTGCAAATCAAGAGGACGACATTTCCCCACGTGAAAATGACGCGAACTTCAAACCTCAGCGTCCATCAGGGTGCACCTGCACGTGGCCACGCCCCTCCGGGGATGCTAGTTTATGGTGGCTTTACGCACCGTGGCGCAGTTGAGTCCGGTGACAGAGTCTGTCCGGCCCTGGGTGGGGGTGGGCTGGAGACTTTACCCACCCTTCGCGGACCCAGCGTGCAGAGTTCGGCTAGATCACACGGGGGGCAGCTGGGGGGGGGGGGACACACCGAGGCAGGAGGGAAACAGCAGGCGGGTGAAGGCCAGGCGCCCTTGCCCTGGCCACTCACCGGCCTCGTGGCGCACCATGGGCTCCTGGCGGGTGTCACGCAGCACGTCCAGGAGCACGGGGATGGCCCGGGAGTCCTGCATCTGGCCCAGGCAGTAGGCCAGCTCGTGCTTGAGCAGGGCGGAGTCGTCGCCGAAGGCCTGGCTGATCCAGGTGATGGCGCCTGGGCCGCCGAGCCCGCGAAGGGTGAAGAGCGCCCTGAAGCGGGCCTGCAAGGGCTGCTGGGGGTCCACCAGCGTGCGCCCCACCGCCTCCACCTCCTGCTCGGTCACCATGGCGCCGCCGCCTTCCTCCGCAGCCCCGCCGGGGGCCGAAGCTGGGGACCGTGGGGCACAAGAACCTACGTGCAGAAAACCGAGAGCCCAGGTGAGAGGCGTCTTCCGCCCATCCGTGAACTCGTTCACTTAAGAGTTAGGGCCCGGGTGGGGTGGATTCCCACCAGCCGACCAGCCCGGACGTCTGGGTTGAAAGCCAGGGTCCGGCCCTGTCTACTCGCTGGGCGGCCTTCCGTAAGTCACTTTCCCTCTCTGGGCCTCTCGCCTCTGTACCGGCAGGGACTTCCGCCGGGCTGCGCTCCACGCCATAGCCGGAGGGACCACGGTGGTGGGTGGCCAACACGGCCCCCGGTGGTCCCCACTCCGTGCGGCCCCTCTCGCACCGGAAGGGACGACAGGGACCCCTGAGGGCAGGTCATGAGAGACGCTGCGGCGTCCTCCTTGCCCGCGCTGGGGGAAGCCAGCCATGGAGAGGCTCCGTCAGCCCCACGTAGGGGCTCGCGGGGCGAGGGACCGAGGCCTCTGGCCAAGTGTCACGTGACAGCAGGAGGCCGGGAGCAGCTCCTGCAGCCGAGGCGGCCCCAGCCTCACGAGAGGTCGGAGCCAGAAGCTACCAGGCCCAGATGCCTGGCCCCCGGCAACGGTGTGAGTCTGCTGCTGCTTAAAGCTGCTGAGTACGGGGTGTGGAAACTGCACCAGGTCACTGTCCTGTATCCCCCCCTCCTATGGCACCTTATGATTCCAAGCCCCCTGATGGTCCCCAAGGCCCTGCATGACCTACCTCGACCCCTGCCAGCCCTCCCTCCTCTCCCCCTCCACCCCCTCGCTCACTCTGCTCCAGCCACAGAGGCCTCCTGGCTGTTCCTCCAACAGGCCAGGCCCAGTCCTGCCCCAGGACCTTTGCACGGACCTGTTCTCTTCCCCAGGAACACTCTTCCCCAGATGCTTCCCATGCTCATGCTCTCACTTCGTGGGTCTCAAATGTCACCTCCTCAGGGAAGCCTTCCCGGGTCACAGTCTTCACTGTTGTTCCTTTCCCGTTTTACGTTTCTTCAAAGCACTTACCACTACTAGACATCGCGTAAGATGTTTACCAGTTTAGCTGCTATGGCTGGTCTTACCCGTCACAGAACTCTGAAGGCAGGGACCGAGTCTATCTTGGTCACCACTAAACCCCCCAGCACACAGTAGGCCGTCAATGAAACCAACAGCCCTCCCCATAACAGCGGCTGACGTGCACAGAGCATCTGCTCTGTGGCAGGCACCTCTTCTTTTTTTTCTCTTTTAATTTTTTTTTTAACATTTATTTATTTTTGAGACAGAGAGAGACAGAGCATGAACGGGGGAAGGGCAGAGAGAGAGGGAGACACAGAATTGGAAACAGGCTCCAGGCTCTGAGCCGTCAGCCCAGAGCCCGACGCGGGGCTCGAACTCACGGACCGCGAGATCGTGACCTGAGCCGAAGTCGGATGCTCAACCGACGGCGCCACCCAGGCGCCCCGGCAGGCACCTCTTCTAAGCCCCCTACATTCGTGAGCTCCTGTGATTCTCCCCATAAAACTATGAGACAGGCACTAGGACTGTCACCCTTTTACGGGCGAGAGGGCAGAAGCCGAGAGGTTAATAACTCGCCTACGAACCGCGTAAGGAGTTTATACATCCAGGTAGCCGGGCTCCAGAGTCAAGTTCTAAACCACAATTGTTCTGCCGAATGGACGGACTAAGATGAAATGACGCGGCTGGGCTGGGCTGGGCGGGGAGGAGGGGCTCCCTCTCCACCGCCCAGATCAACGAAGACCTGGCAGACGCTTCGTAACGCAAGCCCTGGCGTGCTGCGTGGCCTTCCGGTTCCCTGCAGCGTCGGCAGGGCTGACCCGGCTTCATGAGGGAGGTGTGGCTGCCTGAGTGGGGATGACCATCGAAGGAGGGGACACCTTGAAATAAGGACCACCAGAGACCACAGAAACCAGGAGCCAGGGAGCTGGCAAGGCCTTAGGGGCCATGAGATCTGACTGTCTTCTACACAGACGAGCAGCGACTTGTCTGGGGTCACCAAACAGGAGCCGGGACTCCTGCCTCCCAGTCCGTGCGGGGTCGCCCTCAAGACACCTGGAGAGGGCCCTTCATGGCCTACTCATCATCCCCAGCGTCCTCAGATGCCTGGGAATGAGGGGAGATCTGGCCAACAAGGCAGCTCCAGCTACGGGAGAGGAACGTGAAGAGAAAACAGGGCAAGACCTGAACTGGGGCAAAAGTCTCTGGGCTTGGCTTCCTCGTTTGGAATAAAACTATCAGCAGCTCACGAGCCGGGTTTCCTTCCAGTCTCTGTTCAGATATTAAAGTACAGGCAGGAATCCTCTGAGCACCCGGCTTTAACAACGCAAACCCTCCACCGCCCTGCACTTCTGTTCCTTGTGGCTTTCACTGTTCCCCGCGGCCTCTCGCAGCACCTGGCGTCCAGTACATTTCACTCATCTGTTTCTTACTAGAAAGTCGGCGCCACAGAGACGGGACTTTATATATAAATAAAGATGAATCTGTACCACACGCACACGCGGACGGACCCAGGTATATATACTGTTTTGTTCATTGCTATGTCCCCAAGGCCTAGCACGGGATCGGTCACCATGGCAGCAGGTGCCCAATCCTTAGTTGTTGAATGAACCGAACGTCTCCTGCGCACCAGGCATCGTACTAGGCACTTCATGCCCGGCGTAAATCTGTATCATTCGTAAGATGGGTAGAAGGGGCACATGGACCCAATGGAGCCATGCTCGTAGAGCACCTCCTACAATTGCTGGCACTTAATAGGCCCTTGGACAAACCAGAGCTACTGTTAAATATTCCTGCAGGGAGCCCCAAACCCACTTCTGTGCCCAGGAGGGCGCCCCAAGCCACCTGGAAGCCCGCAAATCATACTTTCGGCCCATTTTTCAGTGGGAAGCCGGGGCAAGGGTGTGGGCGCGGGGTTGAGGGGATCAGCCCCCAACCAAGGCGGAATCCGGGAATCCGCTCGCCCCCGTGAGAGCCTCTTAGAAGAAGACACGATGGATTAGTAAGGGATGGAGAGAGAGGAGACGAGGATCCTCAACCCTCCGGCCCCCCATCCCCGACCTACCTAAACCAAGAATTCCCAACGAAAAGATACCTCGTAATCAACGCTCCTCCAGGAAGGGATTCCCTCGGGGCTGCTCGCAGGTTCCCTCCCCCTGGAAGAGAACCCGAGGAACTGGATGCTTCAAGATCTGCCCACGCGGGTCGCCAAGTACTGGATCCCTCACGCCGCTGGATCGCCCAGAAATCTCGAGAAAGGGGTCGCCCGATATGGGAACCCCGAGCACGCTCCAGCCCCCTGGATCTCCGGCGACAAGGACCCCGCAACCCGGGGAAAGAGTTCGCCCAGACTCTAAACCCCTCAGGAGGGGGCCCCTCGACTTCCCCACCCCCCCCCCGCCCCCCAAGCAACGAATCCCAGAGACTGGACCCCCTCCCGCGGCGTCCTCCCCATGCCCGCCCGCCAGGCCGCGGCCACGTACCGCGCTCTCTGCTGCCAGAACGCCCGAGCGATCCTCCGGAAGACAAGGAACGCCGAGTCCGCCCGCTCCCTCCGCCGCCACCCGCGTCTCACCAACCGCGACGCTCGCAGCGCGCTCCGGGAGCCGCCACCTTCTCGCCCACGTGACCGGCCCGGACGGCACCAACACAGCCCTCGGGGGGAGTTCCAGTCAAAGTCTCCGCGGCGGGAGAGAGGTCTGGAAGCATGAGTCGGCGCCTGGGCCACAGCTCACACTTAAACACCGGATGGAGTCTACGGACATCCCTCAGGGAAGGGCAAGGGCAACCTTCATCTTTCCCCGGAAGAGATTCTCTCCGGCCTCCCCACCCGCTTCGGTCGGTGGAAATGGTTTGTGCCGATTCAGGCCGGAGCCCGGGGCCGGCTGGCAACGGAACGTGCGCGGCGCTCCTGGGGCGTGGCCAAGTCCTGGGGGCGTGGCCAGTGGCTTCAGGGGGCTGGACGCGAGCTCGCGAGGGGAGGGTTCGCGTCCTTTCCCCCACGCGGTCAAGTTGTTCAGCGCTCGCGTAACAAATAGCTCATGGAGGCGGAGGACAAGACAGCCTGCAATCCATAACCTCGTAAACCTCCCAGCCTGGTTGTCTGAGGGAGACAGACAGTAAATAAATAAAATACATGTTAGATCGTGACGCGTGTTAAGGGGAACAAAGCATTCAAGCAAGGTGTATGTGTGGGGTGTGAAGTCTTAGGGGGCGTGGCCACAGACCGAGGTGATGACTTATATGAGTGCGGGAAGGAGCCGTGGGGATGTTTGGGGATAGAGCCGCCCAGACAGAAAAAGGACTTGGCTTCACTCTGACAAATGAGAAGCCACAGAAGTGTTCTAATCAGGGACATTCTGAACAGGCTTTTTTGGACTGGTAGGCAGGAAATCGTTATTAGGAGGGTGGAAGCAAAGAGACCAGAAGTACTCAGATTCTGGATTAATTTTGTTTATTTTTATTATGATTTTTTTTTTTTTTTTAGAGATTTTAAGTAATTTCTACACCCACACGTGGGGCTTGAACTCACACCCCCCGAGATCAAGAGTGGTGCACGACACTCGCTGAGCCAACCAAGCTCCCCTGAATTAATTTTGGAGGTAGGGCAAACAGGATTCGAGGAAGGATTGGATATGGAGTTTCGGAGCAAGAGCGCTCTCCAGGATAAGTGCAAGGTTTCTCACCAGTACCTGGATGCCATTCTTACCTTCCCAACCTATCCATCCAGGGTCTGAAATAGGGTCGGAATCCCGTCACTTTTTCCGCCCCCGTGAGAGTCCAGACTACCACTGGCTGTCAGCAGGATGCTGTCCACACAAGACAAAGCAAGCTTTTAAGCAGTTATGTCCAAACAGGATAGTATTCCTCAAAAAGTTAAACATACCATACGGCCCAGCAACTCTGCTCTTAGATGTATATCTAAGATATACACTCAAACAGGTAAT